TTTAATTTTCAGTGTGAAGATTTTTCCAAAACACTTGCTATATAAATGCATGACTTTGAATCAAATGGGTACAACTGTATTGTAAGAGGGTATTTAGCATTAATATTTTGCTATATGACTACAGCATTACTTTTCAGTAATATTGGAAGGGGGCAGTGGGTATTCTAGAGAATACAAAAGGGAAATGGAAATTACACACAAATACATACAGACACACAGATACACAGACACACACTGCATTAATTTTGGTCTGCCATACTTCATTATTTCCGCTATTAGGAAATAAAATATACAGCTGTATTTAGACAAATAACTTGATTTGCAAACTTTGTAGCTGCCAAATAAACTCATAAGATATCTTGTGCATTCTGCCTCCTTATTGGGAAAATATAAATCTTGCCACCAAAAGATATTAGGCCAAAATCTTACTAAAAATGTACATGGACATGCATTCTATTGAAAAACAACTTAGAAATTGCTGTAGAATCTAATTAAATGAATATAACATTGGAAAAAGAGAAACTGCATGAAAAGATGGCTGACAAATTCTCCTATCCCTGAATTTTTGGAGGCTGCAGAATTTGTAGATAGTATTTTTATATTTTTATTATATACGGTGTTAAATGACCTTTCTATTTCTTTTTGTCTCTAGTTTTTCTTAGCAGAATACAGGATGAGTTTACTAAAAAGAAACTAAACACCTTCAAAGATTTAAAACTTGTTAATACAGTGACAGTAGATAGCTCAGATAAAGGTCTCAACAATGACCTTGCTGTCATTCAAACTGCATGTATGAATACAGGACAATTGAGCCCCCATTCATAATCTACATGACCTCTGCTTCTTTTGTTTATTTATAGCACAAGGAGGGAAAAGAAGCCTTCTATTCAGTTTGGAACCATCTGTTTTCTAGTGTTTGTTTGACTAGTAACTTGACCTGATGATAATGTGGTGTCTGAGTTACAAAACAGATTGAGTTGTTATGCAACATTTTTATCCCTGGAGTTTAGTGGCAGGCAGTGTGGAAGAAACACAGACTGTTCATCTAAAGTATTAAGCAACATTCAGTAGCAAGGTCTTCACTGAATTTCTTCACAGACTGATAGTTGGGAGTAGGCGGAATTTTAGATATGCTTATTTAAAGATTAATTGAATTAGATTTGCCTTGGGTTTTTTTAGCCTTAGCTGCAATAGGAATAACAAGAGCAACTTAGTATATATTACGATGCATGTGGTTTCTGAATGCTGGATTTGCTGGATGCATTTTTATTTTGCTAAAGCCTTTTCATAATCCATATAGATGACAGAAAAAATCATTTACAGGTTGCTGGCAGCACCATTTGCTATAATGCAGTCATTTGTTTTGTCTTTTAAAAATGTATTTGAGTATGTGCAGAAATTCTGGATTATCAAGGTATAAACTGTACTTGTCATGACATTGGAAGTAGGTCTGAATGAAGAATACCGTAGTTATTTGATTTTCTCATCCTCTGCTTGGATGTACATGCATTTCTGTCCTTAGCATGGTATAAGAAGTTAGAGTTAAAGCAAATTCTTTTTAGAAAAGCCTTTGAAATAATGATCTTTTGAATGTAGGGTGTTGGTGGTATTCTAAGCCTTGAACCATAAAAAATTATCTCCTGGGCTGTAGGTGTAAATATTGGTGCGTGTTTCTTCTTTGCCTCTCTGACTGTTAACATTTATTGAGCTCTCCATACATACTCTCCATATACTTTCCTAGCTTTTCTTGATGACTGTTACATATTTAAAACCAATTGGACAAGAGACTTGAAGAAAAAAACCTTGCAAACTCAGAGTCTCAGAGCTCCATTCCATCTTCAGGCAGTGAGTTGCGGCAATGAATTGATGACTGCCTTTCATTTCCTGGAATGGATATTCCACTGCAGTTTTGTCAGGTCAGAACTGCAGGCAACTGCACCAGCATAGACTCAGGGAATCAGAGTCAAAGAATAAAACCACCAGACAGGGCTGGAAAAAGTCCTCAAAGCATGTCAGCACTGAGAAGCCCCCATGGACACGGCCAGTCTGGAGTCTGAGAATTAGAGCCAGGCTAAAAATGTCACCCTTTGATTTTCCATCTATTTCAAGAGCTGAGATATCAGATGAAAAGGTCAACTGAAGGACTGTATCCATACTTTTTCAGCAGGAGGGTGGAATTTATAAATAACTGGTGAGGAGTGTCTATCCCATCAGCAGCAGACTGTTGGATGTTTGCATGTGGAATAAAAAAGCTGATGGCTGCTTGATTTAACTTTCCCTCAGTGCTTTTACTATCACATAAAATTCTCACATACGGTAGTTTCCTCAGCTGTAGCACAGACTTCTACTTGATACAGAGGAATACTAAGAGACTTTTCAGGTTCCATGCCTTGTTTCTACATAAAGAAATATCTCCTGGATTCCAGGAAGTGGAATCAAATTTGCAACATCCCATTTTCATCCCATTAGAAATACAAGGCCTTGTGGAATTGTCTCCAACATGAGTAGTAATTAATTATCTTCATATGATCTTTGCCTTTATGAGAATTAGTGTCTTACTTTTTATTCCCTTTGTTAAATACATAATAAACTATCTTGGCATATACTTTTTTAAATTATAAAATAAACCTTTACTTATACTCATTTTGGAAAAGAATTCTAATAAATTCTGCTATCCCAGGATTTGAAGCTAAAATTGTTTTCTTACCTTGTAGAGGACTTTCTACAAAATGTTTGCCCGTCTGTAGAATAATTGGCTTGGCACACTCATATCCAATCCCTAGAAAGCAGGCTGAAAGATCCTATTGAGTCACCACTTTTCCTCATTTTAAATATTTATTATGTATTCTTTTATTTTATTTATTTTTATTTTAAGACCATGATCATGGTATTTAAACAGTAGAGCTACTGAGAAAGGTAAATGAACATTTTTAAAACAAAGCTTCCAACAATTAGTGAATGACATTACATATTGCAGGATTGGAAAGGTTAAACACTAGTAGAACATAGCTTGCTTCTGTATGGGATGAACATTGGTTTTAAATCTCTGTTCCTCTTCTCTGCCTTGGATGGTTTAATCTGTCTATACTGTGGGTCAAAAATCTTCTGACTCTTCCATATGAGAACCAGTAAAAAGAGAGCAACAAAATGCTTTTGTTTTAATTCTCTTTTTCCATTAGAATGCTGTTCTTAAAAACACCTCTCTGTCACAACCAAACTTGAGATGGCCATTGTCTTATTTACTTATTTACAATGTTTACATGCTGCTCAAATTAAAACCTACTCTAAATAGCTTACATTTCCCATTTGAGTAATTAAGATTTTAAAAGAGTCTAAAGCAAATAACAATTTAATGCAAAGCATGGTACTAGAGATAAATAAAAGTCCGTTATAATCCAGTTTATAGGAGACAGCGTCTCACAACATTTCAATGCTGAAGGTTTTTCATTTTTAAGATCAACATAAATAATAATACTTACCTATGTGCTGAGGGAAAGGACATTTCCAGAAAAAATTCCTCTGTTTTTCATTGGAGTATTTGACTGGATTCTTTAATAAGAGATGACTATGTTAACATCATTGTTTGGTATCACTAAGGCTGGCCTTTTGTTGTAATAAACTTACTATTTTTGTTTTATGTTAAATCTAAACTAATGCTAAATCTATGATTTGTTTTAACACATAGCTTAGCAGGTATTAATCATTTTATACTATTATATTTTATGACCTGTATCTTGTCACTTCAACAGCTCACTAAAAACACTCCAGTTTTACTTATATCTCTGAACTGTATGCCATTTTTTGCTGAGATAAAGTTTTCTTTTTGAGCTCCCCTCTGTCCTTTGCAGAATATTTCCTTTGTAGCTGATTTATTTTTTGGGATTGTACAGGGAGGGTAATCCATTCTTCTTATGGATGCCATTGCATTGACAGATGGATAATATTGGATGCAACCCAAAACATTCAGAACACCAGGCCTTTATAATACAGAGTTTTAATTAGAGTTACCATATGTCTAGTAGTTTCTAGAAGAGTCCAGTTCAAATCCTGAATGCCCTATCTTAGAAAAGGAAAAAAAGTCAGGGATTGCCTGTTTGTTTTAAAGAGGCTGAACAGCCACATATGTATCAATTATTGCTCTTTCCATATCTTGCTCTTTGCTCTTTGGATACAACTTCTTCATTCTCCTCATTCCTTTTCTTCAATATGCCTGTTCTTTGAAGTCATTCTCTGCTTCTTTCTCTTTGATCTTTTCTTTCTTCCCAGCTAAGTTGCTTCTCTCCTTGATTAGTTTCCACCCATTGCTTCTTGTCCTACCCTCAGGTGCTTTGGAGAATAGCTTGACTCCCTCTTCTTTGTGACAGCCCCCATATTGGAACACTGCCATCATGTCTCCCCTAGTCCTTCTTTTCATTAAACTAGACATGGATGCAGTATTCCAAGTGTGGCCTTACCAAGGCATTATAAAGTGGTATTAACACTTCACGTGATCTTGATTTTATCCCTCTGTTTATGCAGCCTAGAACAGTGTTGGCTTTTCTGGCAGCTGCTACACATATTTCAAAGGTTGTCCACTAGGACTCCAAGATCCCTCTCACAGTTACTACTATTGAGCAAGGTACCGCAATACTGTACCTGTGCATTTTGTTTCTCTTGCCTAAATGTAGGCCTAAATGTAAAGTATAAATGCAAAAAAGAAATATTTTTTTCAATCTTGATTATATCATGTGTATTAAGTAAGTATATTGTTTATTGGAAGGTTTGAATATTTTGACATATTTTATTAATTCTCTGTAGAGTGTAAACTCTTTCCTCCCATTCAGATCTAATTTAATGGAGAGCAGAAATTCACTTAAATAATTCATAAATTAAATTAAGTAATAATCCTAGTGTTATTGTTCAATTTAACATCTTATAAAAAGATGCAGAAAAGAGGCTACTTTTTAAAAAAGCAATATATTAACCAAAGTAATGCTCTGCATCATTTCCTTCTTTCTAAGACAGAACTGTCTTGGTGGATATGAATCTTCCACCCCTACGAGGTCTTTATATCCAGGGCACATTGGAATTCTCATTAAACACCAGTCATCTTCTGAGCGCAGCCTGTATTGTGATTGCTGCTGGTGGTGTCTTGAAAGTGGGTATGTGAAAAATAATAATAGCAGGAAGAGACGCTGCATGTTTTATCTTTTATTTTTTTAAAAAAATTGAACCAAGTCTAATTAGCCCCAGGCATGACGAAGCTGTGTTGGGGTATATATGCTAAGGGCAAATGATGAAATCTAGAAAGAAGAATATCATCATAAATTGGTTCTTGTGCTATCTAACATTTATTAAGTTCCTGCAATACGCTGGGCATACTGTAGCACAAAAGGGGTCTGTTCTAGTCGAAGTGGAATCTATTCCAGATAAATGCTCATTGGAATGCAATCAAAGGCTGTTTCACACTGAGCAGAAAACCTGATATTCCCCCCTCCCTAGTAGATAAGGGTTGCAATAGAGCCTATATTGAGTTAGGCCCAGAAAATCCTTTCTCAACACCTTGAATTGGGTTTGATAGTTCAGTGCAGGATTTTAAACACTGCTGTGACATGAGCTGATTTAGCCATCTTACTTAACAATCATGCAGTTGCTAGACCATCTTCAGGAAATAGTTCTGCACCAAGTGTATTGCAGTAATCCATTCATAAAACTATTAAGGCATGGAGCAGTAAAGCTCCTGATGTGGAACTTCAAATATTTTATGATTAGTAGTCCCTATCCCATCACAATCCTTTTGTGATTAGCTAAGGCCATACAGCAGTTACTTTGTGGTGACGCTTGCAACCCTTTATTCACATTCCAAATGTGTTCACCACTTAAAAGGGATTCATATCCTTTTTTATCCTGAAATTGAACTGACTTTAATTTGCATAATACTAATACTGACCTAAATTATCCTTAGCATTTAAATATACAAGGCGTTGTCATTCTTCAACTTTTTGTATTAGTGATCTGGTTAAAACATGGAATTGAAGCTCATCAAATTTGCAGAAGATATAAACACAGCATAATTAGGACCTTAGACTACAGAAATACAATTCAAATTTATCTTCATAGTTTAAAGAAGCGGGTTGGAAATAACAAATAAATATTTAGCAGAGGGAGATACAAAGTTGTAATGGTATGTAGGAATGATCTTGGGGGACAGGAGGAAAAGCTGCACCTTGGTCTAATGAACCAAATTTGAGTCCAAAGAAGGAGAGGTGATGAAAGGATCATTCTGAGTTTTGGGGAAAATAAAAGTGAGGAATGACAGGGTACTTCCAGACTTGCAAGATTATTTTAATGTAATCTTAAAGTAAAGATAGGGCTAATGCTCCTGGTTGTTCTTGTCTGGACTACTTTGCAAGGTGCACATCAATCTTCCAAGTCTGAAAATACCCCTGCCATCCTTCACTTTTATTCTCCCAAAAGCTAGGGATAATCCCCTCTGAGCATTTTTGCTACCTCTCTTCCTTTGGACTCAAATTAATTTTGTTTATCAGACTATTGTCTAGCTCTTCCTCCTGACCTCCAAGGTAATTTCCAAATACTACCAGTGTAGCAGAGATACAAAGAAAGGAAATGCCACCCGAAAAGTATAGTTTCCAAAAGATTCAAAGAAAGTGAACACAATTGAGTCATAGAAAGGTAATTGAAGATGATCATAGAAAGGTAATTGAAGATGATCAGGGAACAAGAAAGTAAGAATTCTACAGAAATAGGGAAGGATGTTTGGCCTTGAGGATTAAAAAAAATGAAGAAGTGGGAGGAACATAACACCACTCTTCAAATAATTGGAAAGATGTCACATAGAGGGTCAAGGTCAGTTCTCTCTCTTTCTAGAATGAACATGTTATAATTGGAATTACAGGAAGCAGATTCTAATTTGATGCTTTTAAAAAAAACCTTCTAACAAGAAGAGCAGTTTGACAGTGGAATCATCGGGTCAGAGAGCTTGGTGAGCTCTTCTTAATTAGATGTGTTCAAGCAGAGACTGGACAACCATCTGTCTAGGACACTTTAATTTGGATTCCTGCACAGAGGTTGGCTTCCGTAGCCTAAATGGTCCCTCCTAATTGTGCTGTATAAGAATTAAAGCAGGCTTGGTAATTAGTAAAATGGGGTCGGTTCTTTCCTTTGATTCAGAGATAGTTTTGAAACTTGCCATCCTGACCTCCCCGGTTTTAATTAAGAGCCTTGGAGAATTTCTCAGCTAAGATCCAAGAGTAGATGGAGACAGCACTCACTTTATAAATTTTGTAAAGCTGCTTGGGTCCAGAAGAGATTTATTACAGGGGCTATGTTCCCCAATGGAGTAACACAGAAGGAAGCATATGAATTTCTGGGCATGTGACCCAGAAGAAAGCAAGCTGCACATCAGTGGAATCAGTGCAGAATTTTAGAACCGAATTACTTGAAGATTATTATTCAGATTATCTCAGGGTGGAGTAGCATATAGGGATTTATGAAAAATGAGCAATAGTCAGTTTAGGAATTCGAAGCATTTGGCAATTAAAGAAGATGGAGAGAAAGAGCTGGCTCTGAAATGGATCAAAATGGGGGTGGGGTGGGGGAAACTAGATGAGAGAATCTACTTTCACTAAGGATCGCATGGCTCTGTTTGGGAAGAGGAAATGAAGGAAATTGCTATTATAGGAAGAACTGGAAATCAAAACTATTGAAAGATTTCCAGAAAGGTAACATTCCTGGGCTTTAAAAAAAAACTATTCTATTTTGGTTGAAAGAAATCATGAGCAGCTGTTATGGGAATCAGGACCATCTTAACAGCATTATGGGCCCCCGGGCAAAGCAGTGTACTGGGGCCCCTACGACTACTACTCACAGGAATAAAAATGTAAATGGTCAATAAAATTAAACATATATTTGCATGTTAGTATTAATAAAAAATGCAGTAAATGTAATAAATATGTTGCTGTATTCATATGATACAAGGTGCATTGAAGGGTTAAGATACACAGGTTAGGGCCTACAGGCAAGTGCCCATCAGCCCATGCGTTAAGACAGCCTTGATGGAAATGTATCCAACCAAAAGGCCACAACAAGAACAGCTTGAGTACTGCCTGTTTCCATCTTTTCACTTATCTTATAAAGTAGATAGCAGTCTTTGGCTATCTCTATAACTGTGAAAGGACATGTTCAAGCTACTGTATATAGCTATCATTCAACCCACTCTAGATCTGCCATGGATGTGTTACAGTGTATTTCTAATTAATATGTCAAGAATCAAGACACATGGCATACTTGTCATAGATAGATAGAATACAAATCCCTGTTATTTTGTTGTAGCATGGGTTACCATATTTAACTTAGTATTCAGACTAATACATATTAGTATTCACAATTTATGATACTATTATTCATAGTTCATTATATTGAAATTTCAAAACTCAGATTATTCTTGCTATAGAAATCTGTAATTCTAACACATGCTAACCACCATTCTTTCAAATATAAAAATTGTCTTTTTATTAATACTATAAAGGGAATTAAAGAAATATACCTTGAAACTTTGTAGTTGCTAATGTTCAGCTTTTGTTTTTACTTTTTATCTATTTATTTATTTTACCTTATAATGAAGTAATAGTTTAACAGGACTTCTTAATGAGGTAGCAAGGAAACTATGTTCATTAAAAAATTTAAAAGATGCATAATTAGTAAGCATAGTTTGGATTCTAAGAAATTCAGGGACGTTTGTTTAGAGCAGCAATAGTTCTTCTCTCAAAATGCTAGGTAAGAGACGTACATAAATTATTTCACGTATCTGGGAATCCAGAAATATGTTTTTATAACCCATTTTATTGGACTAGACACAGTACAGATTAGTAGTGCAAAGTGGAAACAGTTTTTACAGAATCAACTGGAAATATCTAAACTTGAACAGTCTATTAAAAGCATGACTTACTGATTCAATTCTTTGTTTTATTCTGGATTGTTTCAGGGTTGACTATACATTCACAGTATACATAAATGAGCTAGTCTGTTGAAGAGTACTACTCTTCAAAAAGTGTTTTTTGTTTTAAGCTGACAGCATCCAGAGGACAGCTGCTAGTTGTATAAAATCTGTGTGCTTCAGCACCTGTTGTACTGGAGATGACCCCATAGTGCCTGGAATCAGGGAATACGGTAGCTTTTTAGTGATTTTCATTTGGTCCCTAGTTAGCTTCATTGACTGCCAGTTGGCTGTTATCTTTCTGAAGAACTGGATACAGCAAAGCACTGGTCTGTTTGAATTGTGCAATACCGCTAGACTGTTTAGCCAGGANGCGCAAAGGCACCAACCTAGAGTAAGCCCATAGTTTTATACAGTGTTTAGGAACTAGAATAGAATAACAGAGTTGGAAGGGACCTTGGAGGTCTTCTAATCCAACCCCCTGCCTAGACAGGAAACACTATACCATTTCAGACAAATGGTTATCCAACATCTTCTTAAAAACTTCCAGTGTTGGAGCATTCACAACTTCTGGAGGCAAGTTGTTCTACTGATTAATTGTTCTAACTGTCAGGAAATTTCTCCTCAGTTCTAAATTGCTTCTCTCCTTGAATAGTATCCACGCATTGCTTCTTGTTCTACCCTCAGGTGCCTTGGAGTATAGTTTGATTCCCTCTTCTTTGTGGCAACCCCTGAGATATAAAGCCTCAAATCATTTTGCCAAAGTCGGAAGACCCTCCCAACCTAAATTGGGAATATTGTATGGACCAAAGACTAAGCATATATAGACATTGTATGTAAATGAAAGCACATAGTCTCCAAAGTGCAGGACAATAAGCAATAATATGAAGATTTCAGAACAGATAATTAGTTTGTGTCCCTCAAACTGGACCATGCCAGAGAATCTTGCTAAATAATTGATTTAAGATGCTATAAGGCATGCCAAGATGCCTCTATTTGCCTTAGCCGATGATATGTGTATTCAAAAAGTAACCTGATATTAGATGTTTCATTAGAATTTCCCCCTTTGTTTATTCATAACCAATGACAATGAGCCATTGTTACTTGAGCAGCATGCTTGCATTACCCAAATATATATAGAGAGAGCTCAAAGCTGCAGAAATCAAAGAAAGTTAATTCAGCTACCCAGAAGGGTATAGCTGTTGGGTACAGTT